CCTTAGAAAGAAATCCAACACAAACCCAGTGATTTCAGTTCTGGCAGGTTTCCCTGTTCCAATTAGGAGCGAAATACCCACCTCTCCAGCTGAAGACCTAAAGAAGTAAAAAGAGAACTTCTTTAGGTGTAATGGAGGGATGGTTTTCTTTGCATTCTGGCATCTTCCTCCTCCCTAAATGATTAATAGTGCCTAGGACAGTAGGACTTTTTACTCAAGCATAACAATGGAAAGTCACAGCTGTTACGTGAAGTTCATCCTGCTTAATCAGTGATCCAACAGCCTTCACAAACATAAGATTAGTTGTTCACATAACGAGGCTCTCCCTTGGCACATCTCCCAATCCCAGAAGGATTACATCTTGCCCAGTCGCAGGGGGGGAGCAGCCTAGCCCAAAGCCGGCAGCTTGTTTGAGGGAACCAGTGTGACAATGTTTGATTGCAAAGTGCACAACACTTTATGAAGTATTGGAGACTTTCAGATGGATGACCAAGGAATGTCTTGGGGGGTTTTTTAAAACACATTTTTAAAGGTCACTTTCCACTTACAGTTATTACAAAATATTGGCTATATCCCCTATGTTGTCAATACATCCTTGTAGCCTATCTTATATCCCAATAACTTGTACCTCCCACTCCCCCACCCCTATATTGTTCCTCCCCACTCTTCACACTGGCAGCCCCAAGTTTGCTCTCTGTATCTGTCAGTCTGCCTTCTATTTGTTTTATTCACTAGTTTGTTGTATTTTTTAGATTCCACTATTTATTGTTGTTCTTAGTCACCAAGTCATGTCCCAACTCTTTTGCAACCGCATGGACTGTCAGCTACCAGGCTCCTCTGTCCGTAGGATTTTCCAGGCAAGAATACTGGAATAGGTTGCAGTTTCCTTCTCCAGGGGATCTGCCACATCCTGTACTGCAGGCAGACTCTTTACCACTGAGAAACCAGGGAAGCCCCCAAAATCTTCAAAATGTATTAATACAAGGAAAAAACAATAGAATAGTGTCCATAATGTGGCATTTTTCTATAAATTAAAAAATAAACAGATACAGATATATGATGTTGGTATATGCATACACACATTTTGCCCAAAAAAATCACAAGAAAGCAGCAGTAGTGATGAGATTTGGATAACAGAGTTATACAGCGAAAAGGGTATTAAGTAATATCATATAGTATTTGTCTTTCTCTTTATTTCACTTAGCATAATGCCCTCCAAGTCCATCCATGTTCTTGCAAATAGCAAAATTTTGTTCTTTTTTAATGGCTGAGTAATATTCCATTGTGTGTGTATATGTACCATATCTTCATTATCCATTCACCTGTTGATGTACACTTACATTGCTTCCATATCTTGGCAATTGTAAAATATGCTGCTGTAAGCATTAGGGTGAGAGTATCTTTTCAAATTAATGTTTTTGGGTTTTTTGGACATGCACTCAGGAGTCAAACTGCTGGGTCATATGTTAGATCTATTTTTAGTTTTTTGAGAAACTTCCATACTGTTTTCCACAGTGGCTTCACCAGTTTACATTCCCACCAATAGTGTATGAGGGTTTCCTTTTCTTCATATTCTCACCAACATTTGTTATTTGTGTTCATTTTGATGATAGTCATCCATTCTGGCTGGTATGAGGTGATATATCATTGTGGTTTTGATTTGCATTTCCCTAATGATTAGCAGTGTTGAGCATCTTTTCATGTGCCTGTTTACCATCTGCATTTCCTCTTTGGAAAAATGTCTATTCCATTCTTCTGTCCATTTTTTAATCATATCATTTTGTTTTTTTAATGTTGAGTTGTGTGGGCTATTTATATATGTTGGATATTAATCTCTTACTGGTCATATTATTTACAAATACTTTCTCCCATTCAGTAGGCTGTCTTTTTATTTTGTCAATGGTTACCTTTGCTGTGCAAAAACTTTTTTAACTAGGTCCCATTTATTTTTGCATTTATTTCCTTTACTTTAGGAGACAGATCCAAAAATACTGCTACAATTTATATCAAAGAGTTTTCTGCCTATATTTTACTCTAAGAGTTTTATAGTATCCAGTGTTACATTTAGGTCTTAATCCTTTTGAGTTTATTTTTGTACCTGGTATTTGACAATGTTCTAATTTCTTTTACATGTAGCTGACCAGTTCTTTCAGCATCATTTATTGAAAAGACTGTCTTTTCTCCATTGTATATTGATTCCTTTGTCATAGATTAATTGAATATAAGTACATAGATTTATTTCTGGGCTGTCTAACCTGTTTCATTGATCTGTGTGTCTGTTTTTGTGCCAGTACCATTTTTTTTTTTTACTGTAACTTTGTACTATAATCTGAGGTCAAGGACTGTCATCCCTCCAGCTCTGTTCTTTCTCAAGATTGTTTTGGCTATTTGGAGTCTTTTGTGTTTTCATATAGATTTTTAAATTATTTTAGGTCTGTTAAAAAAAATGCCTTTGATATTTTGATACAGATTGCAGTGAATCTGTAGGTTACCTTAAGTAGTGTGGTCATTTTAATAATACTGATTCCCCACCAAGTTGGACTGTTTCCTAGATTTCTTCTTCTGATCTTGCATTATTAGCATATAGAAATGCAACAAATTTCTGTATATGAACTTTGTATCCTGCAACTTTACTACTAGAGCTCTTGATGAGCTCTGAGCTATCATAGTTTTTCTGGTGGTGTCTTTAGGATTTTCTCTGTGTAGTATCATGTCACCTGCAGACAGTAACAGTTTGACTTCTTCTTTTCCAATTTGGATTCCTTTTATTTCTTTTTTTTCTCTCGTTGCTGTGGCTAGGACTTCCAAAACTGTGTTGAACAGAACTAGTGAGAATGGACCTCCTTGCCTTATTCCTGATCTTAGGGGAAATACTTTCAGCTTTTCACCATTAAATATGATGCTAGCTGTGGGTTTGTCATATATGGCAAACCTTTATTATGTTGAGGTATGTTCCTTCTATGCCTGCTTTCTGGAGAGTTTTTATCATAATGGATGTCAAACTTTGTAAAAAGCTTTTCATACATCTATTGAGATAATCATATAGTTTGGGACTTTTTTAAAAGCTTATTAAAATATATTTTATATACCATATCATATTTTACATACCATAAAATATATTTTACATTTAACCCACTTAAGGTATATAAACAGAACTATGTAATGTTTCTTGTGTCTTGCTTTTTTCAATTAGCATAATGTTTTCACAGTTTATCCATGTTCTGGTATTTATCAATACTTCATTTCTTTTGTGGTTGAATAATATTCCATTGTAAAGATATTATCCCATTGTATAGATATACCATGTTTTCTTTATTCATTCTTCAGCCAGTAGACATTTAGGTTATCTTCACCTTTTGTCTATTATAAATAATACTGTTTAAAATTCACATACAAGCTTTAGTGTGGATGTATGTTTTCATTTCTCTTGAATGTCAGACTTAATGAATCATATGGTAAATCTATGAATAATTTGAGGGACTGCAAAACTATTTTCCAAAAGGCTGGAACCATTTTACATTTCCACCAACACTGTATGAGGGTTTAGATTTCTCTATACTCTTGCTAACCCTTCTTACTATCTAACTGGAATGGTTTTCTGATCCTATAACTGAGTTGAAACATCACACATACATACACAACTATACATACATTTATACAATCATTGACACAGACACACACATAAAACTATATACATGTCTTCTTGCACACACCTCTAGAGTTCATAGACATATACACAGAATTCCAGATAGACACTCACAACCATACATACATATATCACACATAGCATACATGCTTATCTGACCCACATGCATGAACATAAGACATACAATAGACCAGTGCCATCAAACATGTACATACAATTGTCACAGGTTCTGAATAAACATACACACTTGTACATACATACTCAAGTAATGGATTCACAGCTGCTCAAACACACATTCTGCAAATAATAGTTGTACCCACAAAGCACAGTCCTAAAAAGGCACATATATGTAGTTACCATCACTTAAAGGTAGATAACTGAAGACTGGTTGAATGTATTTACTCTGGATGGCATGGAGATAGTTGAGGTTTCATTAGTATTTGATGTAGTGGGTAGAAAGATGTTTTCATTCATTCATTAAGTTACAAGTAACATATTAAGCATATAAGAAACATAAAGATAAACAAGATGTAGTCCCTTCCTCATGAACTTGTAGTCTAGTGATGGGGGATGGTCAGTAAATAAACAAGGAAACAATCACAGTCTGTGATATGTGCCACGAAGAAAATAAGCAAGGTAAGACATTAGATAATAAGTGAAGCCTCAGGATAGCTGGCAGTTTCCAGATGCTTTTAGAATTTTTGCCCCCTCTCTCAGCCTGGAAAAGTGAAGAGTTTGCAGATTCACCATCACTAAGTCACAGGATAAACTGGTGTGTGTGTGTGTGTGTGTGTGTGTTAATACTAACATTAGTGAGAGTGTGGGCTCAGGACCTGGAGTACCTGGTTTTAAATGTTGGTTCATTCTAGTTGAGTGATTTTTCTCTTTCCCTCAGTTTCTCATTCAAAAATAGGGATGATACTAGTACCATTAATAAGGATTAAACTAGCTGATACTTACCAAGCACTTAAAACTGCCTGGCGAGCGTTCTCAACATTAGCCATCATATGATTTTTCGCGAACAGGTTTTCTTAGAGGGAGGTGAGCGCACTAGGAAATGGGTGGAGAGGGGCCGGGGGAACATAAGGCAGAGCCTGGCAGTGCTCTGTTGGCTGTAAGTCGAACAGGCCTTCATCCCAGGCCTTATCTGAGCAGTCTTTCGGAATGTGACCCTGGCATACCACCTCAGCAGACCATAAACCAATCCACCACCACTCTGCTCTGCCCACAGCCACAAACCACAGAGAAAAAGGCACACGATGGGTGGTGCTGGGCGTGCCTGTTGGTTTTCAGTTGCGTCAGAATGCAGCAGCTCTGCTGTGGGTCTGGCTCCTAATGCTTGCTGTTTCTGCAGGTCAGCACCTATCACCCTGCACCTGCCTCCCCAGGACATTCCACAGCCATTGTCAGTCTTCCTGGCTCCCAGCAACACCTCTCAGCTAACATGTGAGTAAAAAAAAAAAAGAGTTCAACCCTCCATTCCTGGTCCTGGCACAGAGGGGTCATCTTTGCCATCCCTCTGTCATCAAGCATCCCCCGTCCCCAATCATCCCATGCAGAGAAACAACAGCTTCCCTTCCTTTACAATGTCCAAAGGAAATAATAATGAAAAATACAAATTACCAAACTATATCATCCTGGCTCATTATTTTACAAAAGCAGAAAGAGACTAGTTTATGTACCAAAACCCTACAGGGAGATTGGGTACTGAGTGATTTCTGTTGTCTTTGTTTAGATTCACAATGCTTGGTCATCAATAGATGCCACTGTATCAGTGAGAAATAAATACAACATTTCAGGAGGGAAAGAAATCTTGCAGATGAGAACATTCTCCTAGCCCCTTTGATAAAACCTGTCAGTGCCTCCAAGTCCTTAGAGCAGTTGTCCCCAACCTCTGGGCTCTAATGCTGATGATCTGAGGTGGAGCTGGTATAATAATAATAGAGACAAAGTGCACAATAAATGTACTTTGTGCACTTGAACATGCACTTGAATCATCCTGAAACCATCCCACTGGCGCCAAAAAGGTTGGAAACTGCTGCCTTAGCGTCTATCCAGCTCTAAGCCATAAACTTTTAACCCCAAACCTGGGAAACCAAAGTGGGTTATTTTTAATGCTTTTAGTTGGGTAATTATTCTCCTTCCACAGCCTAACTACTCCCCAGGGTCTTCACCCCAAGCTCATACCTGGATGTTACCTACCCAACCTACTATGTGGACTCCAGAGTGGAAAGTCACTGCTCCAACCCAAGAACATTTCTACCACGTTTCAAGCCCATTCTCCTCCATCCCACAATGCAGCCAATATTCATTCCATTGTGTGCCTAAACAATGAAATTAACCCTTGCCTCCCACTTCCCCATGTCGATCTGCTGCCTACATTAAGCTAGCGTCTTGGGGGTTAGACACGTCACTACCCTCAGGAGAGGGAATGGATCAGAGAGGCTTCTATGCTGACCCCTCGGTTCCCTGAACCTTGATGTCTATGACCAGTGTTTTGAGGGTACTCTAAGCAGCGTGAACAAGCATCCTAGATAGAACCATCACTTTCAGGCTTTTGACCCGACTCTGCCACTGATTCCTGGTCACCAACTCCTTTCTCTATTCTCGGCCAGTTTCCCCAATGTCAAAATGCTGATGTGACCTCAGTGAGTGACCTGGAGCTTCAGGGCACTCTATGGAGCAGCAAGGAGATGAAGGGGGCAGGGATTTGGGCCCCTCCACTGCAACTTCAACAAGGTTCCACCGTTTCCATCTGCCTTACATAGTGAGGTTTCAATTCTTAAAGGATGTTTAGTGCTAACCACTGGGTCATGGACTCTGAGTTTTCCTCTCCCTTCACCCTTTGCTGGTTCCATGCCCTCCACTAGGCACACTCACCAGCGTACTTCACCACTTCCCTGCATCTCCCCAGGTTTATAGCTCTGCACTCCTACTCAGCCCATGGACCCGACGAACTGGACCTACAGAAGGGAGAGGGCGTCAGGGTCCTGGGCAAGTACCAGGACGGCTGGCTCAGAGGCGTCTCCTTGGTGACCGGGCGAGTCGGCATCTTCCCCAACAACTACGTCATCCCCATTTTCAGGTGCGTCCTCTCCAATCTCAGGCATCAGAGGGTTGGATCATCTAGGCCAGAGTCCATCTCTGAGTTGAATGGCTGAAGGAGTCAATCCTTTCAGAGTGTGGGCCAAGAAACAATTTTTGCTTCACTATCCTCCTAATGATTAATTTTAAAAAAAAATAGTAAAATAGTTATCTTTTAAATAGCTCTTCACATTTTACAAGTATTGATGCTTTTGCATCTTTTAACTCTTTGGCTGTGCTCAAGTATCCCAATAGGTGGGCATTATTTTACAGATGATGAAAGTGATGTGCAGTTAACCAGCCTGCTCAAGAACTAGATTTCAGTTCTACCGTACAACCCCCACAAATCACACTTCACTGTCTTCACCCAGACACTCCATAATCGTAGCACAATGGGAAAGCCCAATGATCAGAAGACCTCTAGGAGCACGTTGGGAGACGTCCCAGGATGTGGGGCCATTAGGCAGAGTTTTCGTGACTCAGACCACTACCCGTACATCCAACCCCCCAGTCATGTGCTAGTTACCCTGCAGGTCTTCTTTCCAAACAGCTTTTCCCAGCCGTTTTCATTCTCTGGCACATTCATCAACTGCACTGCTGCGTGGTTTGTCCAGCCACTTCATACTCCACAAGTACACACAGGCCCCCGAAAGTATCCATGGCGCCTCCTGTAAGTCCAGTACTGCCTCCACCCCCTATAAGTCCAGGCAAAGCCTATCACAAGGTCCCAAGCCCCTTACCACACATAAACACTACCTTTATGACATACCAGAGAGTCATAACTCCAAGGAAAGGGATAATCCCACTGTTCTCTATGGGTGGGGGTCAGAGAAGGAGTCATATATGGCCAGTTTGGAGGACCTTCCTGTAGGTGGGCAGTGTGTCCAGAGGAGGGCTGCAATGGTGAGGAAATAGAAGCTACATCACTGGATAAACCTAGAAGGACAATAGGATTGTTTGAGTGCAGAAGACAAGGTCAGAGAGACCATAATAGACTGTATAGACCAGGAAGTAGGCTTGTTCCCTCAGGGGAAAGTGAACCAGTGAATACAGCTTAGAAGATTCTGGTTCAGTAAACGACTGCACTTGCGTTTACTGAGGTGGCGGATCCCCTTTCTAGATAGAATACAGGCAAAGTGTGGGTACCAATAGATCCAGACAAAAAGATTTCTTTGCATGCCAGAAAGTTGGGATAGAGGGTCAGAGTTACTCCCTTCAGTGGTTCTTGGAATTTGTTAGACATTTGCAAAATCTCCAAAGGCAAACTAAGGACGCCTATACCTGATGCTTTAATCCATTTAGTCAGCAAATATATATTGAGCACAGTATGTCAGGCACCCTTCTAGACACTGGAGAAACACCAGTGAACAAAATACACAGAAATCTCTGCCCACTGGAGCTTATGCTCTGGTGGGAGGGACAGAAAATAAATAAGATGTATAAGGAATATAAGTGGTGCGCTGATAAGGTCTAAGAAGAAAAAATAAGTCAGGAAAGGGGGATAGAATTTACGTGGGGGTGACTACAATGTTAATAGTTTGGTCAGGGGTGGCCTGGCAGAGCAGTGAGAAGGAAGAAGGGAGGGATGTGGGAAGCCCAAGGAACAGCAAGAACAGATCAAAGGCCCCGGGGAAGGAGTATACTGACGTGAAGGCCGAGAGGACTGGATTAGGGAAGTGAGAGGGGCTCCTAAGAGATGAGGCCAGAGTGGTAACAGGGATTCAGATTCAGAATTTGCTCAGTCATAATGAGGAATGTGACTTCAACCATGTTACAGGGCTTGGAGCAGAAGCGTGACATGACCTATCTTGTGTTGTAATCAGAACCCCTCTGGTTGCTGGGTTGAGAGTACACTGTAGACAGGAAAGGTGGAAGCAGAGAGACTAGTTAAGCGGATATGGTAAGAATGGGGGGGGGTGTGGGGGGAGGGCGGGGACGTTGACGGTGAAATGAATGAAGGTGCTGGCTGTGGAGGGAGGGAAGGAGCTGTGGCTAGATTTTGGTTTATTCTAAAGGTAGAAACAACAGGATTTTCTGACAAATCCAATTCTGAATGTAAAAAGAGAGGATTCAAAGTGGGTCCTGAGTAACTGAAGACAAGGTTGCCTTTTACTGAGATGGAGTTGAAATCCAAAAGAGGAACAACAGGTCTTGAGGTGTTAGTGAGGGGAAGCAAAAGCCTGGTTTGCAGCACGTTGTCTCAGATGCCTTAGTATCCCTAGTAAATGGTTGCGTATACAAGTCTAGCATTTAAGAAAGAAGTCTAGGTTTAAGATGAAAGCCCAAAGACTAGATGAAATCATCAAGGTAGGATCCGTTGTGGTGGAGAGAATGACCGTGAGCTGGGAGCTTAATTCCCCAAGGAAACAGGGAAAGTAATGCCTGCAACAGGGCAGAGTAGGAGATGGTAGAGTCTGTTCTTGTGACTCCAAGCTGGGAAGTCTTGAGGAAAGTGGGAGGATAGTTCAGGAGTGACAGGGAAGAGCAAACACCTACCTTAAGTCACGAATAGTCTTCCACGGAAGAAACTATCGTGAACTCTCTAGGGTCATCTCTACTACTCTACTGGGGCGTTTGCATCAGGCCTTAGCCCGAAGTCCTGATTATTCCATAAAAAACCACTAAAGTAAGAGTCACTGTATAATTCATCATCCAAACTAGGACGTTTTTGAGATAGAAGAGGGACACTGCCAGGAGAGCAGGTGTAAACAAACTCTCCTTGGAAAACCTGGACTTAAGATCACCCTAACTGAATGCACATGGGACTCTGTTCCAATGTAGCTCAAGGCTCCAGCTTCCTATTCTCTCCTTGGCTTTTCTCCAAGGTAGATCTATTCTTGGGCAAATAATGAGCTTCTGGACTCACTGTATCCGAGGTGGCCGTATGTCAGATGGTGGATGGATCTTCAGCAGCACCGTAGGTGGCCATGAGTCCCTCCCCACCCCTGGCTCATAGAAACCTGACTCTGCATATATTGAGATGCTGTTGATGCTGATGGGAGTGTTTGCCTCCAGGAAATCAGCATTTCCAGAAAGGAAAGTCACTGTCACAGTATAATCTCCTTAGGGCTATTAGTTGACAGCAGATCCATGCTTTCCCTGTGTGTGTGTTTTCTCTGACAGCCTCCCAGATGCAGAGAAAGTTTCCATCCCTGAAACCTTGGATGCAGATGACACACTCAGTTTGTCTATCTGGGGGCAGCTCACCCTTGTTCTTAACAACCCTTCCCACTGCGGGAGGCTTGGCTCCTCCCAGTTCTCAGGGCTGAATGAGGCCATCCTTTGTCAGCAGAGTTTCTGCTACTGAGTGGGCTGGACTACATGCACGAGGTCCCTTTCTGCTCTTCGGTTCTGTGTGGGTGAGAGGTTTCCCCCATTTTCATGGTGTGTTTGCAGGGGTGGCTCTGCACTACCTCCAGCCCCCGTGGTGTACAGGACTGCCTTTTCTAAGATAGCCAGACCTCCAAGGTGTGAGGTGCCCCCTGAGATTGGAACCTTCACTCTTAATCAGCATCATCTTCTAATGCACTGAGCCAGACAGAGTCTGGGGATCAACTGAGAGACTAGAGTTGACCAAAATGCCAGGGTTTTGATTTACGGTTCAGCAAGCCTGCCTTTGAATTACCAAAGAGGAGAGGCTGCTGTGCCATGTGAAGCCCCAGTGCTCTGTGCTCGAGGGGAACGCCAGCCTGTCCAGCTGTGCTGACCACCCCTAGATCTCTGCCACCCTGACCTAGTCTCCAGATCCCAGAGATAGCCCACGGGTCGGGGATACACAGCACTTGCCACGTTTTCATTCAGGCCCTTCCTAGCAGCACCTGCATGCTTTTGGGTTTCCTCCTCCACACCCAGTCTCAGTGGAGGCCTGTATCCTCCCATTTCAGAGGCTGCAGGAACCAGCTCCTCCCCATTCCTTCTCCGCCTCCTCACTCTCCCTCTCGCCTCCCTCTCCTCCCCAGCCTCCTCAGCTCATCACCAGCTGAGGGACAGGCTCAGCCTCTCAGAACTTGGAAATGGGATCAAGGAAGGAACAGGGGAGGGAAGCAGATGGGCCAAGTTGAAGGCCGTTCACGGCGGGCACTCAAGTAGCAGCCCCTGATCGGACTCTCCCCAGCTCAGACTCCTGCCTCGCCACTCCCAGCAGGCTCCCTAGGATCCTGTTTCCAAGCTCTTTCCACTCCTTTTTGTCCTCCCAATAAACGCCTTTCTGCCCAGTGAGCCGGGATACTTCTCTTTCAGGCAGCCTTCAGCAGACTCATATGCCATCCCGTTGCCTAAGGGGTAGAGAAAAGTGACAGGTGGGCCACCACTCACTGGCCTTTAACTTGCTACACAGAACTGTATACAGACTGTCACAGTGCAAGCTCTTGCCTTACCAAGAGGCTGCTGCCACCACTGAGCAGGGTAGACGGCACATGTGGCATGCCCCTTTCATGACTGCACAAGCTCTTAAGGACTTGTATCTCAGGTGGAAAGGGGGGCACACTCAAAGCGGTGCAGTGGGGCAAATCAGAGGCAACACGCTCACCTCCCCTTGAAACCCAGAATGCCTTTCGGTCTCTCCATCTAGAAAACAGGGGTCATAACGTCGGCAGATCTCGGGTGTCATGGGATTAATGAATCTATGTTAGCACAGCATTTTGATGTTAGAAGAGCATGCTGCGTAAGTGCTGAGTTGTTTTTTTTGGGGGGGGTGCTGTGCTGGGTCTCTGGGTCTTCTTTGTTGCTGCTTGGGCTTTTTTCTAGTTGCAGTGAGCAGGAGCCACTCTCTAGTTGTGGTGCATGGGCTTTTCATTGCAGTGGCCTCTCTCGTTGCAAAGCACAGGCTCTAGGGTGCTCAGGCTTCGGTCGTTGCAGCTCCTGGGCTCCAGAGCACTGGTTCAGCACTTGTGGCACTTGGGCTCAGTTGCTCCCTCGTGGTCCAGGGATCAAACCCAGGTCTCCTGCCCTGGCAGGCAGATTCGCTCGCTGCCCCTGAGGCACCAGGGAAGCCCATGTTGACCTTTTTGCCAGAAAACATAGAGGGGTTCAGTGTTGGGAAAGGGACTTGAAATTTAGGAGTTTCTGGAATCCAGCCTCGTGCTGGGCCCAGAAAAATGAGGTTGCACCTCAGTCTATAAACAGTTGTCCAAAGAAAGGACTGGTGGAATAAGCTTGACTCAGGCCTCATTAACTGTTTTCTGTACTTGCTGCCACTGCCACCCATTTTGGAACCTGTCTTCCCTGTTGCTGGTCCATTTTGCAGCATCCTACACTTTGAGGTCTTTGTTTAAAACACAGGCAGATGCAGACTCTGCCGTGAAAGCCAGAGCTGGGGAGTTCTCTCAGCCCAGCCCTCATCTCCAGAATGTAATCTGAGCTCTGACTGGTGGCCAGCCCACTGCACTTCCCTAACTGCATCCCCAGAGACCAGAGGAGAATGAAAGCTGTGGCCAGAAACCCCCTCACCACAAGCATGTGTCCCCAGGGCACGTGGCCGCATATGCTGCAGGGGCAGAGTTGGCCACGTTACGTGGTGCCTTTCCCATCCCGTGCAATACTGGTGGCTCATTATTAAACCACATACACTTTTTTAAGCAAAAGAGGGAGAGAAAAAGGAGAAATAAGAGGAAATTACCTAAAGAGAAACCTGGAGGCATTGACAGGAAGGAAACTACATGGAGACATCTTTGTGCCAGGACCTTGGCTGAGTTGATTAGCTTCAGGGAATTAGCAGAGGTTACTGAATCAACAGAGTGACAAGGTGATTGATGGACTACTCCTCTGGGGAGGTGATGTTGGGGGTAGGATGGGACAAGGACAAGAGGAGCGTGTAAAGTGACAGCCATTCCCCACGGGGTTCAGGGAGCTGCAGGCTGGAAAGCGATGGGCACGAGATTGCTGTTTTCAAAATTTAAATACTAGTCTTAAAAATTAGAGCCTAAGGCTAAAGGATTAGGTTTTGTGGAGGCATGTGTAGGGTCTCCCAGCTCCTTTGGTTTGTTTATTTCAAGCAGGATGCAGGGTTTTCCAAATGATGAATGCTCTGACTAGCCAGAAGGTAGTGTAGCTCAGTGATAAGAGCATGGGTGACAAGGGCCAGCCTGGACCTAGGTTCAAATCTCAAATAACTGTAAATCTGTATTTTTTTAATCTACAAAACAGTAGTATTTCTAGTTGCTAACTCAGAAGGATGTTGTGAAGAACCCATGAGATAATGTGGGCAAAGGACTTGGCCAACGCCAGACATACAGTGAAAGTGAAAGTATTAGTCATTCAGTCATGTCCCACTCTTTGTAACCCCATGGACTCCCCGTGGAGCCCGCCAGGCTCCTCTGGAATTTTCCAAGCAAGAATACTGGAGTGGGTAGCCATTCCCTTCTCCAGGCGATTGTCTCAACCCAGGAATCTAGGCCAGGTCTCCTGCATTGCAAGCAGATTCTTCACCATCTGAGCCTAAGTGCTCAATATGTGTGACCCAAAATGACTGGCTTCAGTGCTAAGTGCATTGTGGCAGCCATTCAACACTTTAACACCATATGCAGAACACAGAAGATATAAAATAAGTCATATAAAATCTCTGCCTTCAAAGAGTTTAGAATCTAGTGGACAAGTCACTGAACAAACAAGAAACTGCCCCTCCAAAGTGAGATGAACACATACCAGGTATTATGCTCTAAACTCAGGGCTGAAGGAACATGGGATGAGGAGTGATCAGAGCTGGAGGGAAAGAAGATGAAATTCAAATCTTCTTGTCCCACCAGGACTCAGTAGGAGACCTCTTCCCTCCCTCAGCGCACCCACACAGTTATCCAGGTGTGGGAGCTGAGGCCTCTGTAGGTAAGACTCTGTGTGGTATGTATATATGGGTAGCAGTAGGTGAGGAGAGGCCACAGGTGGTATATGGTTGGGAGCTGACTGTGGTATATGATTGGACTCTTGACTGAACTTTTTCTTTTTCTATTTCTTCTTTAAAAAAAAAAAATTGCACAACCAGAAAGACATCTAGCGTTCCAGACTCCCGAAGTCCTGGTCTCTACACCGCATGGACGTTATCCACCTCCTCTGTGTCCTCCCAAGGCAGTATTTCAGAAAGTGATCCCCGGCAGAGCCGGCCCTTCAAGTCCGTCTTCGTGCCCACGGCCATAGTCAACCCTGTGCGGAGCCCAGCCAGCCTGGGGACCCTGGGGCAGGGCTCTCTCCGCAAAGGACGAGGTAGCATGAGAAAGAGTAAGTGGTGGCAGAGAGGTACGTGCCTAGACCTAAGGGATGGGCAAACAGAGTGGTTTTGGGGTTTTGTTTTGTGGTTTGTTTTTTTTTTTTTTTTTTTATGTAATTTGAGGTTTTTTTCATGTTTTTGGTTTTTTTTTTTTTTTTTTTTTTTTGCAAAAACAAAGATCTTCGCTTTAAGGTTGCTTTACATTTCCCAAATATCAAGTTGTTTTATTAGATGAAGCCAGACAATCTCAGGGTCACAGCCCTCAGTCACTACATACATACACACTGATTGGGATGATACCAGTCCTGAGTACCAACGTATAATTAGAACATGGCCTAGGTTGGATGCTAGTTCTTATTAAGACAGAATGACCAAAGTACTTGCTGGATCAGTGTTTCTCAAACTGTGCTCTGTGGAAACCCTCAGTGGGTACCAAAATGGAAATGAAGGATGCATGGAGGAGGAAAAGAGGAGTTTATGCTAAAAGCCCCTGAATCCCACTTTAACTAATATATGTACAAGTTTAAAAATTATATTGTACAAAATTACATTATATTGTACAAATATATCCTTCCAATCCTTCACCCCCAGTCCCAAGTTCTCATCCATATACATGCATACCATGTAATCTTAATACATTGTTCTGCACCTTGCTTTTATTTTTATATAACATCCACATTGCACACATGGCAGTTACGTAACTTCCTTCATCTTAAAAGTCATGCTTTTCTCTTCTAATATATTGAACCTCTGCATAAGACTTCATTTGGGGGGGTTCTAAAAAGTTTCTGAGACCCATTGTTATATAACACATCAAACCTCTATATTTGTACACCTCTCTAGAAGAAGACAAGAAGCCAAGCTAAGTCAACTTGATTTGTTCTACATCCCCTGACTTAGACTGGACTCTGCCATCCCTCCTTCAATCTTAAAAAAATGATTAAAGGTGAAAATGCAGTACTAGTCAGAGCAAAGGATTCACTTGTGGGGCAATACGCCACACAGGAAAATGCCCCCAGAAAGTTAAAGCAATTATCTCGGTTCTACTCTTTCTCAGTGCTTTCCAGTCGCTTGCTTGACTACCAATCCCAGCAGTCTTGCCTCTTAATTCGAGCCAATCATGTTTCCCTTATGCACCCTCCAGTGCCTTCCTCCCCCTTCTCCCTGCAAAACACACAATAAGTAATCCCACCACAACAGCCTTGGGCAAGTTACTTACTTCTTGGGTCTTCAGTTTTCTCGTTTGAAAAATGAAAATAAAAATAGCACCTACCTCATCAGAGTAATGAAAGAATCCATTTAATAGTAACGACACTGTGCCTGGCACACAATAAGCACTGCAGAAATGCGAGCTGCTTTTATAGCATTAGTGTCATACCAGTATTATCAGAGCTCTTACAATTCAGCAGATCATGGTAGGCCCACCCATAATGTGAATGTATCAGTTCACTTAGTGCTGAAATGTTCACACTTATGAATGCCGAGAAGAACATTCCTGTGGCAATGTTTCCCACTCACTTTCGGACACTGCCTCTCTTCCTTCACCTCTGTCTTGATCAACTTGTAGTTTTGACCGATTGCATTGTGTGCACATGTAATAAGCTCCAACCTCTTGGAAATTAGGAACCCATAAGATAAACAGATATGGCAATAAACTGATTTTTCACTCATTTCCAAGAGCCTAAGGACAGGTCTGGGCTCCCCTGGTGGCTCAGACAGTAAAGAATCCACCTGCAATGTGGGAGACCTGGATTCGAGCCCTGGGTCGGGAAGATCCCCTGGAGGAGGGCATGGCAACCCCCTCCGGTATTCTTGCCTGGAGAATCCCTATGGACAGAGGTGCTTGGCGAACTACAGTCCTTGGAGTTGCAAAGAGTCAGACACGACTGAGTGACTAAGCACAGGACAAGGACAGGTCTGCCCAGCATGGCTTTGACTTTTCTAGGTCCCAGAAGCTCTCTCTCTCCCTTTCCCCAAGGTGAGGCTGGTCAAGCTATCAATCTCCCCAAAGCAAAGAGAAATGACAGAGAATTGACTATGTGCACCTCACAGGGCTGTCAGTGGAAAAATAAATGTCGACATTGAAAGGTCAGACTCCTGTAAGCGGTGGCTGGCTTGTCGGCGGTGGCTGAGAATACTGACTCTCTTGAGTGAGTGTCTGCTTTTCATGTTCACACCCATCCTGATGAAGGGTCATGACACAGAACATGGCCTTGGATGGGCCCTCTGTGCTGGACACACGTAACTGTGATTCACACCCGTGTCCATAGAGTGTCACAGAGGACTGACGTCTCTGCTGTGGCTGCAAATGCTGGGAGGCCCTTATGGAGAAATGACCCACAATGCGGCTCAGGGTGTCTCTCCCACTACCCCCCTCAGAGTGCAATACCTTGCTGATTCTCCAGGTCACCCATAGGACCTGGAGATAGGGGTAGGGATCTCCTGTCTTCTGGAGAATTTGAGGGGAAGGAATGGCTTCCTTTTACAGAGGAGGCTCATCTCAGTTAAAACCAAAAAAAGAAAAAAGAAAAAAAAAGGGAATGAGCTCAGGGAAGTGAAAGGAGCAAAACCAAACTCCTGGACCAGGCATGCATTTTTACAGCTTGTTTCTCCTTTACCTATAAAGGAAAAAATTAAAAAGTTTTAAAACATGGGGGCATTTATTATTTTCTGGGCACTATCCTATCCTAACTCTTTGCATGCATCATAAAATATAATCTTACCCCAGCCCATGAGGTACTGTTGTTAGCTCCAGTTTACAACCAGCGGGGCCGAGGAGCAGGAAGGTGATGTGACTGACTGGCCCCTGGCTCCTTGAGAAGAGATCGGTTTCCAGAGCCTGTGTCATGGGACTTCCTGAAGCTCATCCGCTCCCAACCCTAACTTGGAAATAGCCTTTCCAGATTTGCTTCCAACTACTGTCACATTTGCCCAGTACACAAGGTCTCTAAATCCCACTCAGCTTTCCTCCCCACAGACCTGATGAAGAGCAGAGGTCCCCACACTACAGGCCTAATGCTTCCATCAGGATTTTCTTCAAGAAGCTGGTCAGAGTCCCCTCCCCTCTCCCTCCTGCTCATGCCTCTCAACTGACTCATCCTTGTGATCTCAGTGTCTGCTGTCACTTGCTTTGTCTCTGCTTTTGTGTCCTCTTTGGCCTGTATGACATTTCTCTTCTCTTCTCACTGTGAAGCCCTCTCTTTAGGACTGTCTTCTTCATTTCCCATCTTAAAGGCCTGGAAGGAGAATATAGGAGTGTGTATGTGTGTTTGTGTGAAAGAGACAGAGAGAAAGAGAGACAGAGAGACAGACAGAGGACAAACGGAGGTAATATACCTTCTGACACCACCCCCCACCAACATTCACCTAGCCAGTCACTGGCTGCCAGCATCGGCAAACAGCACCAAAAAAAGAATAAGGTCACCTTTGAAAGACCCTGGGAGAATGTGAGCACAGTCAAATTGGGAAAGCACTTAACTATTCTGGGATATCAGGACGCACTGCCTCCCCAGCCCCCCCCCTCCACCCCCAGCTGCTGTCAGCCGCCCCAGGGCTGATATCTCTGTCTTGTAATTCCCCAGATGGATCTCTGCAGAGACCCGTCCAGTCGGGGATCCCCACCCTCATGGTGGGCTCCTTCAGACGCAGCCCCACCATGGTGGTCCAGCCTCAGCAGTTCCAGTTCTGCCAGCCACAGGGAGCCCCCTCCTCAGCCTCCACGGTGGTGGCAGAGCTGGGACCCAAGCCTGCTCCCACCGGGGAGCCTGCCCTCACATGCGTCAGCAGGGGCAGCGACACCAGGATCCACACGGCAGCCAGCTCCCTCATCATGGAAGGCAAAGAAATCCCCATCAAGAGTGAGCCTCTCCCCAAACCGCCTGCATCTGCCCCACCCTCCATCCTGGTGAAACCAGAAAACTCAAGAAGCAGCGAGAAGGTAGGAGTAGGTGATATGGCGCAGCGGTAAAGAATCCTCCTGCCAATGCAGGAGACACAGAGACGTGTGTTCAGTCCCTGGGTTGGGAAGATCCCCTGGAGGAGGAAATGGCAACCCACTCCAGTATTCTTGCCTGGAACATTCTATGAACAGAGGAGCTTGGCAGGCTAATATAGTCCATGGGGGTCACAAAGGTTTGGGTACAACTGAATATGCATGCATGACCATGAGGTGACATGAGGGGGACCTGATTCTTTAGACCCCTAACTGCACAGTATCCCAGCTCCTGAGATTTCAACTCTGAATGGACAAGGAATCAAAGGAATCCTCACACACAACCCCCTCCACATCGTCATACCACCTCCATCCTCCCTGGACATGTTACTGAATCTCCTTGATGTTTCCAGAATATCTCATACATCCTGCTTTCAAGGCCCAGGGGTGACTTGAAAAAGCATGGCTTTGGCCTCAGACACAATGTTGTTTTGAATTCCAGCTCTGCTGCTTGCTAGCTGGTGACTCCAGTTAAAACATCTCACCTTTCTGAGATTCTTTTGCTTAATCTGTAAAACGGCAGTAAGAAGAGTCATAGCCTCACAGGACTGGAGTGGAAATTAAATGAGATGTGTAAAGTGCTTACACAGGGAACAATGTGTATCTGTTCACAGTATGGAAGAGGTAACAGACACAGGAGAGTGTAAGTGACTTGTCAAGGTCACACAGAGTTATAACTACTCCATTGACTTATCAGGACCTTTGTGGTTATGGCTTTTCCATAAGAACACATAAGAATTTCTGTAAACGTATTATGTTCTCAGTAATATCCTTGAGGAAAGAAAGATGGTGGGATGGAGGAGGTAACAAGAAAATTAGGTGACTGTTATCGTTTAGTTTTGGGGCTTCCCTGGTGCCTCAGCAGTAAAGAATCTGCCTGCAATGCAGGTGATGCAGGTTCAGTCCCTAAGTCAGGAAGATTCCCTGGAGAAGGGAATGGCAACCCACTCCAGTATTCTTGCCTGGAGAATCCCATGGACAGAGGAGCCTCGAGGGCTTACAGTCCATGGGGTCACAAAAGAGTCAGACATGACTTAGTGACTAAACAAACAAACAAAAGACAGGGAATGGCAAGGTAAACACGATTGTACCAGACAGGTCTTGTAACAGGCTAGGAAAGAAGGGAGAGAGGAAAGGCTTATGCAAATGTGAGGTGGTGACTCCCACATAGACAGGGAGCTGGTTTGCTGGCTCTGCTTTGAGGATTTATAAGTTTATCACAGAACGTGATGCAGTCAGCAGGTAGGCCTCAGGAAGAGGTAGGCCTCAAGACAGGCTTTACTGGCAGGTGGAGAAGAGACAGGGGAGGTGAACTTATATCTTCTAGAAAGGATCATACCCTATTGCCCAGGACCCTTAGGTCCTGGGTTCTTAGGTCGGTAATTGCCCCTTCTATTTCTGCTAGATAATCCCCAGTCGTTCTTCAGTTCTTGATTGAAATAACTCTGCCTCTAGAAGGCCTTCCCTGACAAGCCCCATTCCAGCTTCAACTGGATACTTCTACCCACTCCCTTAGCATCTTATTCTTCCCCACGGAAGCACTGGTTCTCCCTGTCATCTGTCAGGGCAGTTCTGTTCACTCTTGGATTTGTACATAGCACCTGACAGAGTGGTGATCCCCGGTGGACCCTCATGGCAGACACAAGCATTTGCTGGAGGAACACACGAATGAGGCATTCCCAGAAGGGACAAGGGTAAAGGAACAGTGTGAGCCAAGTCCCGGGGGAAACAGTACAGTTCTCGCACCTCAGCCATGACCCTTTGCTCTCCTGTCTTACAGCAAGTCAAAACCGTGAGATTTCAGAACTACAGCCCTCCTCCCGCCAAACACCACACCTCTGGGAAGCCTGAACAGCCAGCCAACCCAAAGGGGTCCCAGCCTGAGGCAGCCCCCGCGGGCCCGGAGATGACCATCCTGTTCGCCCACCGAAGCGGCTGCCACTCTGGACAGCAGACAGACCTCCGGAGGAAGTCAGCTTTTAGCAAAACCGTGACCCCGGCATCCACTGCCTCAGCCACGCAGACCGCGTTTCCCAGCAAATGAATCTACAGGTGGCTTTTCCTAGACCCCAAAGAGGTGAATTGCATTTAAATATAGTATGCCTCCACTGAGGGCGTCCTGCTGTTCTTTGTGGACTCGAGCATGGGTCCTTGTTCTGCCTTGTTTAGCTCCAGGAAAGGGCAGGTGGGAGCGGGGATTCCTGCCTTGGCTAGGAAGGTAGACTAGGTGACCTTGCAGACGTAATGATTCGATGTCTCAAGATGACTGCCCAGACCAAGGAATGGGAGCTCATCCTGCCCACTCTCGTCCCAGGTGAAGTGTGCACCCCTCATTCCCTGTGCTCTGTGTAGAATTTCTATGATGCTCTAAAGGGGGGTTCAGCCGGTCACAGTAGTAGAATACTGGCATTACTTCTTTGACCTCAACATCTTAGAACAGCTTCTGCCATCTTCTGGGGCCTGGATACAGGTCACTAGTAGGCACTGTATCTTTTTCCCTTCCATTGAGTCACAGTCCTGGCTGCCAAGGGAGAACTTTTGGGAGGGGTGTGAGATGAATGCTGTGAACATTCCAAGAACCCTCTAAACCAAAGAGAGTCAGCTCCCTGGCTTTGCTCCAGACAAGGTCAGAGAGAAAGCTGACTGCTGTCATACTTTCAGCTTCTCAATCTGTTTGCCCACATACTGCCCTACACAGGAGATAAGAAGGAAGCATGTACTTATGGAGAGAGTCCTGTATGGCACTGTGAACCATTACTCATCCCTGGCTCTAGACTGACTTCCCCAAGAAAACACAATGTGCTTAAAAACAACTTCATAAGGCGTTTGAGTTTAGATATTCATTCTGTTTGCACTGCAAACAGTCTTCACTTCCACTAGTTTCTTCTATTTGGGGCAGACTAGATGTTTTCCTGGATTGCAGGATAAGGTAACAGTATTATGGGGAAGATGGCAATCCACAGCTAGGTGGGGGTCCCTTCTAGAGGAAAGTGTCTGTAAAAAGGAACTGGACAAATAAAGTTGGAGAGGAAAGGGAGTAAGAAGGAAGAGATGATGAGAATGAGAGAGAAAGACAGGGGGTTAGGGAATCAGTCAGGGAAGAAGACCAAAGAGGAGGAGATTGACCTTGACATTCTTGGCAGGTGGGGAAAGAAGGACGGAGTCTGCAAAGCTAGGCAATCCCACTAAGATGGGGGCTGACTGAGTGGGACAGCCAGGCAGAGCCTTGTAAACAAGGCTAAAGGGCAGCCCAGGGAGCAGAGACAGTGCTGTAAGACAAACCATTAATTCTCATTAAACTTAATTGTTGTGATTTAACATTTATTGCATGCCCATCAATGTGGGCACTTCAGTGCATGAATGCCATTTAATCCTAAGCCTGGATATCATTTAAAAAAAAAAAAAGACAAGTCTAATTAGACCTTCTCCCTGGACAGTTCTTAAAGATCCTGGGATTAAAAACATTTATCTTTTACATACCAACCACACACTTGGCAAATTGAATTATCCAGACTTTTCCAGACCTTCATAATACACAATCAAAACCCTCATCCTGCCAAGGACTACTGCACATGTCAGACCTTTGGGGTTGGTAGGGCCAATATGGCAACATGTTCTGGTGCTTCTGTGAGATACTGACCCATGTCTACTCCACAAAATCGTCACCCCAACTGCATGATTCAGTGAGGTGAAAATAGTCATCCAGATGGAGAAATGGAGAAAAGTCACCAAGACAGGCAGGCATCGCACGAGTTTTCGAAATATGAGTACCTACCCCTCATATTTACCCCAAAAAGCACTCGCAATGAGTTTAGCAATCTGCCCCCAGAGCGGCAGGCGTGTGACATGCCCAGACAACCAAACATTTACTCTCTGCCTCAGTAGCACTAAAGCCAGTTAATTTTTAACTGTTGTGGCTGAAAAGCAGGTTGTTTGAGTGTAACGAAGACACAATCCATGCCCTCCAAATGAAACAGAATATTCATCCCATTGCCCACGATCGCTATAGAGTAACCTTTCTGAGAATTGTAAGCAGTGCCAGACTGGCCACTCCCATTCCATCCCATTCCATCCAGCCCCCTTCCCCCTCCTCAGCAGCAAATTCCCTCTCTCCGAAACAAATCCCATCTCTGCTGAGTCACCTGAGGATTTGAAAAGGATGGTAGAAGCTGAACTCACTGCCACTTCCTGTCATTTATTCCATCACCATGTTGGATACTGCATCCTCTCCTATAATGTCCACCATAACCTTATATGGCAAATGTAACTATTCCAATTACAGAGCCTAGGAAGCTGCAGCTTGTAGGGTAACCACAGACAGTAGCAGAGCGAGTTTGATAGCTGCCCTCACCCTGAGTTCAAGCTATTTAACTTCAGAGCCTAACTCGGGACTATGCTCAATGAACCAAAAGAGCATCCTTGCTGTGAGTTTACCGACTTCAGACCATGAAGAGGAGGCACAGCGCATTGGTTACAGCTGCCGGCTCTGATGCACACAGACTAGGTCCAGTCCCCATTTACCACGTGCTCGCTGTGTGATGCTGGGCAAGGTACTTGACTTGTCTGGGCCTTGACTTCTTAAAAGCCTTGATAACAGTGCCAGCCTCACTGGGTAATTGTGAGGGTTAACTGAGGTAACATAAAGTGACTGAAGTCATGCTGGTACATAGTGAATACCTGAAAAAGGTTAGCCTTGAATGTTTTTAAGAAAGTGGGTTATTGAAATTCCAGGCAAGAAAGTCTAAATAAGGGCCTGCCCAGGGCTGTGGTGCTGAAAGGAGACCAAGTAACCTAGCTGAGACCTGAAGGACAGGAAAGAGTCAGGCAGGCAAAAGGATGGGAGAAAGGGTGTCCAAGTGGGGTAAGAAGCACTGGCAGTGGGTTTAAATGTAGCAACCAAGTCAAGTTCTCTTGTCCTCAAGTACAAAGAATCCGCTCCTGTGTGGAACATTCCAGGGATCCCAGGTGGGTGTGGAACACCTCACGTCTGAAGCCAGACATTCCTGTGAGAGCTCTATACCCTCAGCCAAGACTCGGAGTCCCTAGGAGAGGCCTGCCTTCACCCTGTGATCGGCCCTGACACCTCAGTGCAAGGAAAGCTGCTGTGGGCAGGCTCTGCTGGGGCAGGAACAGAGGTGGGGACACCTGAGAGATGAAGGAGGGGCACAGTTGAGGACAGACTCTGAGGACCACACTTGAGGAAATGGTCGCCGTAAGCAGCTAGTGGTAAAGAAACCTGCCTGCCAGTGCAGGAGACATAAGAGACCTGGCTTCAATTCCTGGGTCAGGAAGATTCCCTGGAGGAGGGCATGGCACTCACTCCCGTATTCTTGCCTGGAGAATCCCATGGACAGAAGAGCCTGGTGGGCTACAACCCACGGGGTTGCACAGAGTCAGACATGACTGAGCAACTGAGCAGGCACAACTGAGCAGCATCAAGGTCCTCACTTAAAGCCTGTCTCCTTCCCAGCTCGCGTGGGGCCAGCTACACCTCCTCCCCCGCCCCCTCCCATAGACAGAGCTTCTGCAGGAAGATTTTAAAGCAGTGGCCCCACCTGTGACTCAGTGAGAGGCCGAACGAAATCACTGATTTCTGACTCACAGACTTCCGACTCACAGACTTCCAGCTTCCCTGGGACGTTCAGAAAGTCCATCTACACCAGGCCTGCATTCTCAACGGGCAGCCATCCGGAGGGGGCTGCGGCAAGGTCAAGATTTCAGTGAAATGGACACGTGCTCTTCAATTTGCCTTGACCCCAGCAGCCTGCTTCACTCACTCACATGACCTGCACCTGAACTGGGCGTGTTCCCCTCCAGACTGTGCTCCACTTCATCTCAGAAGCATTCTAAACCCCTTCCGCATACAGCTGGGTTCCCGGATATCAGCTGATCCAGGCACACACGTCTCAGGAGCATAGTGGTCCCTGCCAGGGCCCTACAGGATGCCGTTCAGTAGTTCTGGGGTGGGGACTAAGCATATGTGTTTTTGATAAGCTCCCCAAGTGATTCAGAGGTACATAACAAAGGAGAGTAAGTTCACGTTTCTTGTACGGTATAGTAGTGCTGACATTTGGCTCTGACATTCAGCAGGAATATGGTCACACTGGCTGTCAATATATTGAAAGCATCCTGTACTGATAGGTGAATAGTAGATTCTCTGAGCTCCCCGGGGCCTCTCCCCACTCCCACACCCTGGCTCTTTCTCCAGGTCCTCCCCATCGCTCTCCCATCCAAAAGCTAAAAAGCTAAGGCCAGCTGCAGTTGAGACCTGCAGCAATGAAACCCTTCTTCATTCTGATTAGGTGGCGCCTATGACATACTGGGCTTCCCTGGTGGCTGCGACAATAATGACTGCCTGCAGCGCAGGAGACCTGGGTTTGACCCCTGGTTGGGAAGATTCCCCTAGAGAAGGGAACGACTACCCACTCCAGTATTCTTGCCTGGGAAATCCCACGGACAGAGGAGCCTAGGGTCCCACAAAGTCAGACACAACTGAGCGACTAACACTTTCACTATGTCATACTGATTCTGAAATGTCTGGACTGTTACCCTGTTGCACAGAGTAAGGCCCAGAGAGGTCACTCAGAAGTTGAGAGCACTACTATCAGGCCCAACACTCTTCCTGGCCCCCATCCTGGCCGCTGTTCAGCCCTTAACATTTGCCTTTGCAGCCCTCAGCTGAGGCAAGGAGCTGACTTGGAGGACAGGAGTTTCCATGCCTGTTCACCTGTCTTTCTCAGCTAAGAGTTTCCTAGGTGTAAATGACGCACTTCAGTGTCCCAGCTCCACTGCTGCCTCACAGGCAGGTAAGGAGGCACGTACTTCACTTCAGCAAGATGAACAGGCCCCATCTTGATCCTCTCACCGCCTCTTCACACAGGCCGGCCCCACAGCGTCCGACTCCCTGCCCGGGGAGCGAGCAGCTGAAGCAGCAGGAAAACAAGGGCCTCTCCAGCTGGGAGCACGTGCTTAACAAGCTGGGCCCTCCCGGGGCGGCAGCTGCTGCCACTGAGGCTTCTCTCGCTCATGTCTTGAGAGTGAAGACCCCAGTTCCCCCTCGGGTTGAGTGAAAGGAAT